TTAAAAATTATTTATTTTTTTTTTCTTTTTCTTTTTTTTTTTTTTTGAGACGGAGTTTCGCTCTTGTTACCCAAGCTGGAGTGCAATGGCGCGATCTCGGCTCACTGCAACCTTTGCCTCCTGGGTTTAGGCAATTCTCCTGCCTCAGCCTCCTGAGTAGCTGGGATTACAGGCACGCACCACCATGCCCAGCTAATTTTTTGTATTTTTAGTAGAAACGGGGTTTCACCATGTTGACAAGGATGGTCTCGATCTCTTGACCTCGTGATCCACCCGCCTCGGCCTTCCAAAGTGCTGGGATTACAGGCGTGAGCCACCGCGCCCGGCCAAAAATTATTAATTTTTTTGAGATGGGGTCTCACTATGTTGCCCAGGCTGGAGTGCAGTGGCCATTCACAGGTGTGATCCCACTGCTGATCAGCACCAGAGTTTTGACCTGCTCTGTTTCCGATCTGGGCCGGTTCACCCCTCCTTAGGCAACCTGGTGATCCCCTGCTCCCCAGAGGTAACCATATTGGTGCCGAACTTAGTGTGGACACCCGATCGGCACAGCGCACCACAGCCCAGAACTCCTAGGCTCAAGCGATCCTCCCACCTCAGCCTCCCGAGTAGCTGGGACTAATGCACGTGCCACCACACCTGGCCCATCTTAACCATTTTTAAGGGTACAGTTTAGTAGTATTTTCTTTAAAAAAATTGTTTTAAAAAATTTTAAGTTCTGGGCTACATGTGCATAACATGCAGGTTTGTTACATAGGTATACTTATGCCATGGTGGTTTGCTGCACCTATTGGCCCATCCTCTAGGTTCCCTTCCCTTGCCCTCCACCTCACTATGGGGCCCTGGTTTGTGTTGTTCCCCTGTCTGTGTCCATGTGTTCTCATTGTTCACCTCCCATTTAGGAGTGAGAATATGCAGTATTTGGTTTTCTGTTCCTGTGTTTGCTGAGGATGATGGCTTCCAGCTTCATCCATGTCCCTGCAAAGGATGTGATTTCATTCCTTTTTATGGCTGTGTAGTATTCCATGGTATATCTGGACCACATTTTCTTTATCCAGTCTATCACTGATGGGCATTTGGATTGGTTCCATGACTTTGCTATTATAAATAGTGCTGCAATAAACATATGTGTGCATGTGTCTTTATAGTAGAATATAAAGACATTTATATTCACATTTCTTTGGGTATATACTCAGTAATGGGATTCCTGGATCAAATGCTATTTCTGGTTCTAGATTCTTGAGGAATCACCATACTGTCTTCCACAATGGTTGAAATAATTTACATTCCCACGAACAGTGTAAAAGCATTCCTTTTTCTCCACAGCTCGCCAGTATTTATTGTTTCAAAAATATGGAATGTTTCATGAATTTGTGTGTCATGCTTGCACGGAGGCCATGCTAATCTTCTCTGTATCGTTCCAATTTTAGTATATGTGCTGCCAAAGCAAGCACAGTTTAGTAGTAGTTTCATATTGCTGTGCAGCAAATCTTCAGAACATTTTCATCTTGCAAAACTGAAACTCTGTACTTATTAAATAACAACTTCCTCTTCCCCATACCCCTTGGTAGCTACCATTTTGTTTTCTGTTTCTATAAATTTAACTACTCCATTTTTCATATAAGTGGAATAATGCAATACTTGTCTTATTGTGACTGGCTTATTTCACTTAGCATAATGTCCTTAAGGTTCACCCATCACCTAAATTTTAAAGCATTCTTTATACTTTATCTGAGATCTATGTTGCAAATATTTTCTGCCAGATTGTCAATTGTCTTTTTAAATTGTTTTTGTTATGCAAACATTTACATTTGTATGTAGTGAAAATTAATCTATCATTTGATTTTTTTTTGTATCTAGTATTTGAATCGTAGATAGAAAGGTTTTTCCTATACTCAAGTTATAAAATACTTCATCTATCTTTTTCTTCTTGATCCTTTTATATAATTTCATTGTTTAAGTTAAATTCTGGAGTTTATTCGTGTGTGTGGATTTTATCTTTTTCTAAATGGCTAACCAGTTGTTCCAGAAGTAGTTATGAAAACCCAGTGATTTGAGATGCCATGTTTATCATGTGCTAAATTTTCTGATATATTGGTCTATTTTTTGACTTTTTTTGTTTTCCACTGGTGTGTTTATTCATACACCTGTGCTACACCAGGCTTTCTGGTATATTCTAATGTCTCCTAGGGCTAGCCCTCCATTGCAGATTTTCTTTCTCAGGGTTTTCTTGGTTATTTTGCATGTTTATTTTTCCACATGAACTTTAGGATCAACTTATCTAATTCCATAAAAATGTATGTAGATATTTTTATTGGCATTGTGTTAATTTTGGGAAAACTGAAATTTTCATGATGTTAAAATGTCTTTACTAAAATCAAGTGTCTTTTCATTTATTCTTGTCTATTTTTAGTCAGACCATTCTTATGAAAGAATTTATGAAATTATATTATACTACCATGGTACTGGAATATAATCTCCAAGAGAGCATAGGCTTTGTCTGTTTTGTTCAGCTACTCTATACTCAGCGTTTAGAACAATGTCTGAATATTTGTTGAATCAGTGGATATATTATAATAATAAGTTAGATAATAAGGAATAATAAGTTAGATAATCTTTGTTTTGCCTTGAGGAAATGAAGACTCTATTAAGAACATTAATTTGGCAATAATTCATCATAAAGAAAAAGATAAAATGGTTTATTTGTAGGGTGTACTTTTAGATTAAGTGGTTTTTATTCTGAAAATGTTATTTTTCAGATTATTATTATTATTATTATTATTATTTTTTTTTTTTGAGACGGAGTTTCGCTCTTGTTACCCAGGCTGGAGTGCAATGGCGCGATCTCGGCTCACCGCAACCTCCGCCTCCTGAGTTCAGGCAATTCTCCTGCCTCAGCCTCCTGAGTAGCTGGGACTACAGGCACGCGCCACCATGCCCAGCTAATTTTTTGTAGTTTTAGTAGAGACGGGGTTTCACCATGTTGACCAGGATGGTCTTGATCTCTTGACCTTGTGATCCACCCGCCTCGGCCTCCCAAAGTGCTGGGATTACAGGCTTGAGCCACCGCGCCCGGCCTTCAGATTATTTTTAATCTGAAAAAATGTTATTTTAGGAAGGAGAGTTCAGGAGTTACGCTGAAATGCTACAACCATGCAGAACATTTAACTTTTTCTTATTATGTTCCCAGTTCAACTATATTTATATGAAGCAATGTGTAGAAAGTAGTCCTATAGTACCTATTCAGCAGGAATGGCTGGATCACATGTTAAGGCTGATACCTGAGTCTTTAAAGGAAGGGAAAGAAAGAGAAGAGCTCCTTGAAAGTCTGATAAATGAGGTATCAAGTGACTTTGAAAACAGCATGAAGAGATATTTGGGTAAGTAGCATTTAACACACACCAAGCTTCTTTCACCTTTGCTTCTCCCCAACCGCACTGAATCAAAAATAGAAATAAGCAAAATGAATAAAGAATACTATATATTTAAATGATACTTATTTTTTTCTTCTTTTCTTTTTCTTTGAGACAGGATCACTGTGTCCAGGCTAGAGTACAGGGATGCTATTTCAGCTCACTGCAGCCTCCACCTGCTGAGTTGAAGTGATTCCCCTACCTCAGCCTCCCGAGTACCTGGACCTTCAGGCATGCACCTCCATGCCCAGCTGATTTTTTTATTTTTTGGTAAAGATAGGGTTTCACCATGTTGGCCAACCTGGTCTCGAACTCCTGGGCTCAAGCCATGTGCTCACCTTGGCCTCCCAAAGTGCTAGGATTATAGGGAACCACTCAGCCTGGCCTAAACTATATGTATTTCTTACATATGATTTTATTTAAAGGTTTTATTTTGAGCCTATTTTCAAGTCAACATCCTTACAGTTTAAGGATAATTTTTGTATTTTTTTTTTTTTAAGCTAATATCTCTTTGATGTTTTACTTTGTCTTTATGATTTTAGCTATACTATTTATAGGTTTGCTAGAAAATGCTAATGTGTTTTGGAAGATTTATTAAGGTATAATCTTTGCTATTTTTAGAAAAACTTTTTTCCTTTTTAAAAACTGACAAATAAAAATTGTATATAATTATCATGTACAGTATATTTTGAAATATGTATACATTGTGGAGTAGCTAAATTGAGCTAATTAACAGATGCATTTTTCCCATATTTATCATTTTTTGTGTGTGGTAGGAACACAAAATCTACTCTTGGCAATTTTCAAAAATACAATAAATTGTTATTAGCCAGTCACCATGTTGTATAGTTTCTTTTCTTTTTTTTGAGATGAAGTTTCGCTCTTGTCGCCCAGGCTGGAGTGCAGTGGTGATCTCGGCTCACTGCAACCTTCCCCTCCTGGGTTCAAGCAATTCTTCTGCCTCAGCCTCCTGAATAGCTGGGATTACAGGCACACACCACCAAGTCTGGTTAATTTTTGTATTTTTAGTAGAGACAGGGTTTCACCATGTTGGCCAGGCTGGTCTCAAACTCCTGACCTCAGGTGATCCGCCCGCCTTGGTCTCCCAAAGTGCTGTACAGGCATGAGCCACTGTGCCCGGCCTCCATCTTGTATAATCTTTTGAACTTGTTCCCTCCTATCTAACTGAAATTTGGTAGCCTGTCACCAACATCCTCCCAGCCCCTGGTAGCCACCATGAAATACATTTTTTTAAGTGGCCATGCTGGTGACTTTTGAGTAGATGGAATGTGAAAAACTGAGAGTGTATTAAAGCTTTTCTTTATCTGAACTTTCCTCTAAAGTAAGGCCAAAATAGTACCAAGAACTTGATTTTGTTTCAAATAAAGGAGTTTTTTCTTGCATTCCTTTTAATGCATAGTAAACTATAACATCCCAAATCAAAAGTTAGAAACGTTGATATGAATAGGTTGTACAGAGATTTTCAAGAAGCAATAATATATTTATGTATTTTAGTGCAGAGCGTTCTTGTGAAACCACCGATTAAATGGCTTGAAGATGAAGGAGGTCCTTTGCCTGAATCCCCTGTGTGAGTAAATTATTTTAAAAAGAGTACCTCAATTTTTCATACAAATCAAAAATAAACTGATCTTAGATTGAGGTCTACAATTGTGATTCTCTTTTTTTTTTTTTTTTTTTTTGAGACGGAGTTTCGCTCTTGTTACCCAGGCTGGAGTGCAATGGCGCGATCTCGGCTCACCGCAACCTCCGCCTCCTGGGTTCAGGCAATTCTCCTGCCTCAGCCTCCTGAGTAGCTGGGATTACAAGCACGCGCCAACATGCCCAGCTAATTTTTTTGTAGTTTTAGTAGAGACGGGGTTTCACCATGTTGACCAGGATGGTCTTGATCTCTTGACCTTGTGATCCACCTGCCTCGGCCTCCCAAAGTGCTGGGATTACAGGCTTGAGCCACCGCGCCTGGCGACAATTGTGATTCTCAAAGGCATTTTGAACACATCTAAAAAAAAAGTACTCTTGTTTTTCCCCCAGTGGTGTCCTCTCCACTCTGCTTGTTTAGTTCTGCATACATAATTGGGGAGATCTTTATGAATGCATAGCTTAACTTAGCCTTGAGTAACCTTTGGCGTATGCCAGAAAGATCTCTCCATCCCTTTTCCAGTCCTAAAGACTGTGTTCTTTCATCTTTACCTGGGGTGACTGAACCAAAGCACAGTGGAAGTTAGCAGAGCTCTCAGATCTGGCCCATCAGTCAGCCTTACTCACAAATTATTTCTGTTCTTTCTGAAGATAATGCACTTTTGAGTTCTTGATGTGTTTTTATTAAATGCATATAAGGCTTCCATTAGTGACACAGTTCCCTCTTCTCAAGCCCCAGTTTTCTCACTTTAATATTAATTCATGTTATAAACATTATTTCCTAAAGTTTAGAGTATATTATTTTAATCATATTTGACATGTGTTTTGTTTTTCCAGAGGCCTAGATTATTCTAATCCTTGGCATTCTAGCTATGTGCAGGCAAGAAATCAAATATTCTCTAATTTGTACATTGTTCATCCAACTATGAAAACGCTACTGGACCTTGGTTATACAACATTTGATGGTATAATTTTGTTGGACTTCACAGGAATTAGGTAAAACCCTGTACTTACTAATTAAATTTAAAATTTGAATGTCTCTTTGCTTGAGTTTATATTTTTGACTATATAATTTTAAAAACTGATTCCTAATCTTCAACACTTTTCTCTAAATTTTAGAATATAAAAAATGTATCTTGGCCAGGCATGGTGGCTTATGCCTGTAATTGCAGCACTTTGGGAGGCCAGATGGGTGGATCATGAGGTCAGGAGATCCAGACCATCCTGGCTAACACAGTGAAACCGCATCTCTACTAAAAATGCAGAAAATTAGGCTGGGTGCAGTGGCTCATGCCTGTAATCCCAGCACTTTGGGTGGCAGAGGTGGGCGGATCACCTGAGGTTGAGAGTTTGAGATCAGCCTGACCAATATGGAGATACCCCGTTTCTACTAAAAATATAAAATTAGCCAGGCATGGTGGTACATACTTCTAATCCCAGCTATTCGGAAGGCTGAGGCAGGAGAACTGCTTGAACCCAGGAGGCGGAGGTTGAAGTGAACTGAGATTGCAACAGAGTGAACTCTGTCTCAAAGAAAAAAAAAATTAGCTGGATGTGGTGGTGCGCGCCTGTAGTCCCAGCTACTTGGGAGGCTGAAGCAGGAGAATCACTTGAACCTGGGAGGCAGAGGTTGCAGTGAGCTGAGATGGCACCACTGCACTTCAGCCTGGGGGACAGAGTGAGACTCTGCCTCAAAACAAACAAAGAAACAAAACAAAACAAAACAAAAACACCAATATGGCTTACTTGTTTCAACAATTGTATGTTTTTGTTTTTGCTTTTGTTTTTTTCCCTGAGATTGAATGTTGCTCTGTAACCCAGGCTGGAGTTTGGTGGCGCAATCTTGGCTCATTGAACCTATGCCTCCCAGGTTCCAGCAATTCTTATGCCTCAGCCTCCCAAGTTGCTGGGATTGTAGGTGCACACCAACTCGCCCAGCTAATTTTTGTATTTTTAGTAGAGACACTGTTTTACCGTGTTAGCCAGGCTGGTCTTGAACTCCTGACCTCATGATCCACCTGCCTCAACCTCCCAAAGTGTTGGGATTACAGGCATGAGACACCTCGCCTGGCCCAACAAATGTTTTTTAAGACTAATATGTATCATTTGCTTCAAATCATATTTCTTTTTCTCATAAATAGAGCTAAAGGTCCAATTGATTGTGAATCACTGAAAACTGATCTATCAATAGAAGCTAGAAAAGCAGAAGAGAAGATAATGAATACATGGTATCCAAAGGTTATAAACATCTTTACCAAGAAGGAGGCACTAGAAGGTATTAAACCTGAAAAGTTGGATGCATTTTATAGCTGTGTTTCCACACTTATGTCAAATCAGGTAAATACACTTTACATATATTCAATGATAATGTTATTAAAATTAGTTCAGTATTTTAAATTAAAATTCTATGTAAACATAGTGCTAAGTAATTATTTTGAAATAGAGTATTTCTACTGTAATTTTATTTAAATAATTTTAGCAGAAAAATACTGAGTTTCTGAAACTAACATGAAAGAAGTCTAGAAGTATATGCCAGTATTAGGAGTGATTACTTGGCTCATGCCTAAAGGATATGTAAGTTAATTATAGCTTTATTGTAGTATGTTAACAAAAAACTATTCTAGTAATGTATTTTTGAATTTATTAGATTCCAAGTTGATTGATTTTCATTTTGTTCTCAGTAAAATATTGGTTTAAAATGTTATTGATTGGCCGGGCGCGGTGGCTCAAGCCTGTAATCCCAGCACTTTGGGAGGCCGAGGCGGGTGGATCACCAGGTCAAGAGATCGAGACCATCCTGGTCAACATGGTGAAACCCCGTCTCTACTAAAAATACTAAACATTAGCTGGGCATGGTGGTGCGTGCCTATAATCCCAGCTACTCAGGAGGCTGAGGCAGGAGAATTGCCTGAACCCAGGAGGCGGAGGTTGCGGTGAGCCGAGATAGCGCCATTGCACTCCAGCCTGGGTAACATGAGTGAAACTCCGTCTCAAAAAAAAAATAAATAAATAAAATAAAATAAAATAAAATAAAATGTTATTGATCATTGTGTAAGAGGAATCCAGTGGAAACAATTTTAAAAATCATTGATAATCTTTAAATGACAAAGAGAATTTTTAATTTTATGAAATTATATTTATGACCTCCTCAAATTTTTACTATTGTAGACATACAATTCTAGAAAAATAGTTTTGAAGAAAAACTTTCCCTTTTGGTAAAGACTTCCAGTAATTCCATGACTTTTGTCTTGCATGTTTAAAAGGAGAATATACATATTTAATATCTAGTATGTAACGCTGTAAGTAATATACATGGTTTCCTTTCTACCTTTATCCTCTTAAGAGGACTGTGATTATTAATAAAAGTAAAGAGATGAGGAATGTCTTGAAGATCATGTAGATCCATGTTTGTCTGCTGGGCTAACTTCCCAGCAGTTGGTTCTCTATAAGAAAGCATTATTCATACTTTAGAAGCTTGTTGTGCACATTTCTAAGTTCCAGTGGCTTTACATTCACCTAGTAGTGTGCTAGAGATATGGCTCTCCAGAAAAGAAAATCACCCTGAGGCTGGGTGCAGTGGCTCACACCTATAATACCAGCACTTTGGGAGGCCCAGGCGGGTGGATCATTTGAGCTCATGAGTTCAAGACCAGCCTGGCCAACATGGCAAACCTCCTCTCTACTGAAAATACAAAAATTAGCCAGGTGTGGTGGCATACACCTACAATCGCAGCCACTCAGGAGGCTGAGGCATGAGAATAATTTGAGACTGGGAGGCAGAGGTTGTGCTGCATTCCAGCCTGGGCAAGAGAATGAGACTCTGTCTCAAAAACAAACAAACAAGAGAAAAAGAAAATTACCCTGACTTGTAGTGTTTGCTGATTTCTGTGGTGTAAATTTTCCCACTGTGGTAAATTTCAAGCTTCTAAGAGTTTAGCAACTGGCTCACCAAATTCTTGAATATTTAACAATTTGCCCTTGAGACAATAGCATTCCACTGTACCTCACTCCATGTGCATGTCCCCCATTACACCCTTACCTCCAGCTGTCAGGCCTCCCCTCCCCTCAGCTTTTACCATGTTCTTTGATCTTCTGGAACATTTTCTGTGCCAGGGACAGAATTAATAACGAATGTGAAAAATTCTACATGCCTATAATCCCAGCACTTTGGGAGGCCAAGGCAGGCAGATTACCTGAGGTCGGGAGTTCGAGATGAGCCTGACCAACATGGAGAAACCCTGTCTCTACTAAAAATACAAAATTAGCTGGGTGTGGTGGTGTACGCCTGTAATCCCAGCTACTCGGAAGGCTGAGGCAGAAGAATTGCTTGAACTTGGGAGGCGGAGGTTGCAGTGAGCTGAGATTGTGCCATTACACTCCAGCCTGGGCAACAAGAATGAAACTCGGTCTCAAAAAAAAAAGAATGTGAAAAATTCTGAGTTGCCATTTTAAGATTGTTGATATTCTATTTAAAAATTAAGGCTTGGCTTGATATGGTAGCTCATGCCTATTATCTCGGCACTTTGGGAGGATCGCTTGATCCTAGGAGCTCAAGACAAGCCTGGCTAACAAAGTGAGACAGTGTCTCTAGAAAAAAAAGTGAAAAATGAGCCAGGCATGGTAGCTCATGCCTATGGTCCCAGCTACTCAAGAAGCTGAGGCGGGAGGATTGCTTGAGTCCAGGATCCCAGGAGCTCGAGGCTGCTGTGAACTACGATTGTGCCACTGCCATTCTAGCCTGGTCTTAAAAAACAAAAACAAAAACAAAACTAGGGTTTGCATATAATGTTCTATTTATTGTTTTGTTTGTTAATGTATGTTCTCACTTATCTGTGGGAGCTAAAAATTAAAACAGTTGAAATCATGGAGATAAAGAGTAGAAGGGTGGTTACCAGGGGCTGCGGAAGGTGGTGGGAGAGGTGGGGGGTAAATGGAGATATTTAATGGATACAATAAACAATTAGAAAGAATGAATAAGCTGAGTGTGGTGGCACATGCCTGTAATCCCAGCACTGTGGGAGGTGGAATCGGGCGGGTCGCTTGAGCTCAGGAGTTTGAGACCAGCTATGAGCAACATGGCAAAACCCTGTCTCTACAAAAATTAGCCAGACGTGGTGGCACGTGCAGGTAGTTCCAGCTATTCGGGAGGCTGAGGTGGGAGGATGGCTTGAGCCCAAGAGGCAGAGGTTGCAATGAGTCAAGGTCTTGCCACTGCATTCCAACCTGGGCAACCCTGCCTCAAAAAAAAAAGAAAAGAAAAAACAATGAATGAAAAAGACTTAGTGCTTGCTAGCACAACTGGGTAACTACAGCAAAACATAATTTGATCATCCCTTTAAAAATAACTAAAAGAGTATAATTAGATTGTTTGTAACACAAGGGATAAATACTTGAAGTGATGGATACCCCATTT